TCAAAAAAAAAAAAAAAAACATTACTGCCTATGTGGAACTTGCATTCTGGCTGTCACTGCTTGCTGCTGAAGCCCTGAGTTTGCCCACAGCCCTTCTTCCGTACATGGCTCCCGGCCTCCCTTTCCAGACCTACTGTGCCTATAATCCCAGCACTCTGAGCCCAGGGGTTTGAGACCAGCCTGGGCATCAGCCGACTGTGGTAGCATTTGCAGTCTTGGCTACTCAGGAGGCTGAGGCAGGAGTGTCTCTTGAACCCAGTAGGCCGAGGGTACAGTGACCTGTGATCATACCACTGCACTTCAGCCTGAGTGACAGAGCAAGACCCTGTCTGACAAAAAAAAAAAGACCTACATACCTGGTTTCTGACAGAGCCTGACCAGTGGGCATCTAGAAATGATTGACGGTGGCGTCCCCGGCCTAGGCCTTTCCTCGCTATGTGGCCTTAGCTCCGTGCCTGTTCTCTCGTGGGGCCTGACATTGCTTTCTGGGAGCTAAGTTCCCCCTGGCCAGTTGGATCAACTTCTCACTTCATTTTTGCCCCCTAAATGTGCCTTTCTCCAGGACTTGTCTTCGTCTGCTGGGCCCCTCTGTTCTCCGGTGGCCTCTGCTGTTGCTGCCTTGTAGCTTCCCCTTTTTTCTTATGATGAATGTCCTGTTGATTCTTTCTTCATGTCTTCCAAGAAGCTGTCATTTGCTCCTTTTCCGTATTTTGTGTGACTTCCTCCCTGCTGGTGGGCACTTGTGTTTCACGCTTGTGTTCCTGGAACTGCCTCTTGAACCCGCTCTGTCCAACATTCAGTCTGGCATGTGGACAGAGCTGCTGGCTGTGACCTTGCCAGGCTTGGCCTCCGGAGCTAGAGCTCAGGACCCTCCAGAACATCAGCTGCTGGCCGGGCCTGGGTCGGTTGTATCCACTGTTGCTCTGGCTCCTGGTGGTCATCTTCTTTCTTCCCTTAGTTCCTCTTGGGGCCTCCTCTGCTCGCCAGCCACATGATTTTCCTGACACCCTTGGTAGGGAAGGGCCCAACCCACTTCCTGCCTCTGGTGGACATGACCTCGCAGGTCCCACTGCCTAGGTTCCCTGTATTCAGTCTCCCGGCCACTGCTGTGTGTTGGCTTCTGCTCTTCCTGTTGAGTAACGTCCCCAAGGGGATGAGCCATGCACATGTGTGATGCAGCCTGACATGGCGCTGGGCCTGTGTGGGAGCCCAGAGATGTACTGCAGCTAGGAGAGTTCCAGGACAGGCCTTGGAAGATGGGCCTGGGGCCCCGTGCTAAGGATGGCGTTGACCTGGCAGTGCAGTGCGCTGGCCCAGCCTCTTTCTTCTCTCTAGTCGCTCCTCGTCGAAGGCATCTTGTTTGGCACCCCCACATGTGCTTCCAGAATCCTTATCTGATGGCCCTGGCTCCCTGTGACCTTCCCCCGCCCCCCAACTTGACACACCGACTTGTCTGTGAAGCCCTTCCCCAGACCCTCACCACTGCCCTCCTCCCCTGCTCCTGGAACATGCTGCTGTGCTTCGAGGTCACCGTGCCTGTGTCCTCTGAGCCTTTCTGACCTCACTCCTGCTCAGTGCTAGACACACGGTAGACATCTTGGTGACCCACATAGATCAATGCAATGTGTGGCGGAATGGCCAGGATTGTCCTAGTCCTTCCCACTTCTGAGCTTCATCTTCTATGGGCCCAGCCAGTTACTAATACTAACCTGCTTCTCTAAAGGACCGTGGCACATGGACCCTGGGCAGAGAGGGGCATGGGGCTGCCAGTGCAGCTCCCTCAGGCAACTCAGTAGGCCCCTGTAATGGCACTGGAGGGCAGGTAGTGGAGGTCGGAAGAGCCATCTGAGCCCCCCGTGACTATTCTGTGTTGATTCTACTCTCCACTTGGAGCACAGAGGCCAGGAGAGGGGAACTGAGAAGAGATACAGCATTCCCTTGGGAGAGGGTAGAGGGCCAGCTCCAGAGGGGACAGGCCACCTAGAATCCCCTCCCTGGTACTGTTGCCATGGGAGGCTCAGGCATCCTGGCTAGGCTTCTGTGAGCTCAAGACCACTGTGCACGGCTCTGGGAAGTCTGCCCAGGTGCTGTGGCTAGGCTGGGTGACAACCTCCCAGCCCTGTCTTTTCCCCCGTGTCCCCATTCACTGTCCAATTTAGAGAAAATTCCAGTCTGTCACATCCAGGGTTAGCTGCCCTTCCTGGCTGAGCACATGGCCCTCCGACAGCAAATGTAGGCCTGGAGTGGCAGAAGTTAGGTGGGTTGGGCAGGGAGTCAAGAAGCCCCAGCCTGGAGGACAGGAGTTCCAGGTCAGCTGCTTCTGACCCAGAGGTCACACCCTGTGGCTGTAGCTTCTGCCCTGTCTGTGGTATCTCTTCCAGCATGTTGTCTCTGGGCTGCTGAGATACAGTCAGCTGGTGCTATTCCAGGCCTTTCCTGCCTTGAATGCCTGGGACTTTAGGTGGGACAAAAGGTACCCAGATTTTCAAGCAGGAGTGCTCCTGGGACCCCAGCTGCTTTTTTCCCAGGGTGGCCACAGGAGACGTTGCAGAGGGCCTGGGAGTGTGGGAGGGATGGGGGAAGGACACAGGCTGGACGGCTGTAAGGGCCACTGTTGGAGGAAGAGCTGCACTCTTGGGGCCGGGCCTCAGGCAGAGGACCAGGAGTGCCTGCCTGGGCTCCTGTCCTTGGCTGGGTGCCTTCTCTAGCTCCTTGCTGTGTGATAACTTAGGGTGGCTCTCACGACTCTGCCAAAGCTACCCCAGGGTCCTCACCCCAGGTGACTGATGTGCTGCTCTTGGCTCACCTCGCCTTCCTCCCACAGCCCTGGGTGCTGCCTATGGCACAGCCAAGAGTGGCACCGGCATCGCTGCTATGTCCGTCATGCGGCCGGAGCTGATCATGAAGTCCATCATCCCAGTGGTCATGGCTGGTATCATCGCCATCTACGGCCTAGTGGTGGCAGTCCTTATCGCCAACTCCCTGAATGATGGCATCAGCCTCTACAGGTGAGTGCTGGGTTTGCCCTGCCCCTCTGGGGCAGGCCCCTGGGCGGGGCTGAAGGACTGAGCGGGTGGCATCCCCAAGCCACTGTCTCCCCTGGCAGGCAGGCTGCTGATGGCAATCCTGTGTCTCTTCTCTCCCCCAGGAGTTTCCTCCAGCTGGGCGCTGGCCTGAGTGTGGGCCTGAGTGGCCTGGCAGCTGGCTTTGCCATCGGCATTGTGGGGGACGCCGGCGTGCGGGGCACCGCCCAGCAGCCCCGACTATTTGTGGGCATGATCCTGATCCTCATTTTCGCCGAGGTGCTCGGCCTCTATGGTCTCATCGTGGCCCTCATCCTCTCCACAAAGTAACCCCTTTCAAGCTCACCAGCCACAGAATATGATGTAAAGACCACCCCCTCCTCATTCCAGAACGAACAGCCTAACACACGCACGGGGCAACTGCCCTCAGTAGTTGGTCTTGTAAATGCGCAGTGTCCTAGTGCCCATTGTCTGTTGCCCTGGCCTTGCCCCCACCTGCCCCGTGCCGTGGACATCTGGGCCCACTTATCACCCATCCAGGCCCTGCCCAGTGAGGACGCAGGCCTCCAGCTGTCCCCACCCATCTGCCCTAGAGTGCTCTGTGTATAAGGATGAATTAGAGTTGTCATTTTCTCTTCACTGGATGTTTATTTATAAAGATTTGATCTGTTCATACGTCTGTGGAGCAGCCCTTGTCTCCCAACTATATAGTAATCTTTAGGTAGAGTGTCACCTTGTGGGGTCCCGTTGCTGAGACTTGCTTGGATGGAACCACCCTGTCCAGCCGGGCTGCCAGACCCCGCGCCGGAGCTGTTTCCAATAAAGTTCTCGGATGTTACTGGAGGCCTGTGTTTACTCGGCTTGCGGGCG